AAAACCTTGTCAAACCTGAGGAAAAAGACGGAGTTGTCCCAATAGAAAGTCAATTCATTAAGTGATTCCAAGCTTAGACCCTATCAGGGTTTCAGCGAATCTAGAACGTTATTGACAGAGAAATTAGATATGCTTGATGTAATTCATGATGCGCTTTATTGTTCTGTTGACTTACAAACTTTCTACAACAATTTGTAATTTACTTCAAATTTAGTCATACTAGGGGATTTCCAGAAGTAAAGGTTTCCTTCTTCATTCCTCTTCCTACTCAACGAAAATGTGGTAATTTAGTAACAAAGGTTTGCATTCAGAATGTGCCAAAATTTGAACATTTACGATTCTGCAGAAGAACAGTTATGGCCGAAAAAGCATGTGGCAGAATACTTTTGTTTGTGCACCACTCTATGTATCCATAACATATACAGTAGCGCTCAAAAGTCTTCGCCGGAATTGTTTTTCGACTGTAACTTTTTTCCGCTGAATCAAATCAATTCAAATTTTAATATGTTTTGGAGACAGTCCTACTTCACTTAAACGGCATTTTTTTCGGATTGAGAAAGAATTAAGAATGGAAAAAATCATTTCACTAGAAATTCTCGCGTATGAGCAAATTCCAAGTAAGTTTCAAATTACTCTAGCAAGCTTACAATTCAACAAAACAATCTTACGCATGATGAATAACACTGGGCAGGTCCAATACTTTGTTAATGATCTTCTGGGTCGCTGAAATACTAACAAGGCCTAAGTAAGGAATCAGTCATTGAATGCACTGTCTACTAGGGCAGCTTCCTCCACTTCTCTTGAAATTTGACGAGTTTCTCGCCCATATTCCCGGCTCTTATTTCCACCAAAGGTATCCCTACCCTTTCCCATAATGTTTCGATGGCGCTCGGGACATTGGTGTGAATTGTTCCCTTCGTTGAAAGCGCGCCATGCTGTCGAAACCAATCCTTCACAGTGAAGGTGCGATGCTTTTGGTCGCTCTATAGCTAGAAGGCGAACTCAGTCACGTACAGTTTCATACGAGCGATACGAAACTCCTTCCAGAATCTATCTGATACGTCGGCATTCACCACTTCTCTAATCCTGTGCAGTTGTAAAACTTCTTTTACGGACTACCACACGCGAGCCTCCGCCAAGTTTTACATAGGACAGGTAATACCTTGAATCCTTACCGTCAGGACCCCAAGCATTGACATCTTGTTAACATCTCGTTGCTCCACAAAACGTTAGAGCCCTGTGGGGATCTCCATTTTAGGTCTACGTAATTCCGTCCGCGAAAAATTCACCGCTGGGTCACTTCATCGGATTCGCAATCAGGTGAAGGAAGCGCATACAGTTAGGTTTTAGAGGTGTTATGTAATCACAAGTCCGGTGATTGCACGGTCTACTTCGCCTGCAAGTATAAAGCGACCGAAATCATCGCATCCTCTACTGTGAAGGATTGGTTTCGACAGCATGGCGCGCTTTCAACGAAGGGAACAATTCACACCAATGTCCCGAGCGCCATCGAAACATTATGGGAGATACCTTTGGTAGAAATAAGAGCCGGAATATGGGCGAGAAACTCGTCAAATTTCAAGAGAAGTGGAGGAAGCTGCCCTAGTAGACAGTGCATTCAATGACTGATTCCTTACTTAGGCCTTGTTAGTATTTCAGCGAACCCAGAAGATCATTAACAAAGTATTGGACCTGCCCAGTGTTATTCATCATGCGTAAGATTGTTTTGTTGAATTGTAAGCTTTCTACAGTAATTCGAAACTTTCTTTGCTCATGCTCGAGAATCTTTTCCATTCTTAATTCTTTCTCTATTTTGAGAAAGAAAAATGTATAAGTTCAGTGGAAGTAGGCCTGGTCTTCAAAACATATTAAAATTTGAAATTGATTCGATTCAGTAGAAGAAATGTAACAGTCGAAAAGCATTTCCCCGAAGACTTTTGGGCACTACTGCACATGTGCAAGATTATACATGCATAGATATTAAATATAAATACGATATATACACAAATTGTGCAATTGCGTTAAAGATGCATAAAAATGAATAGAATATTCGTACTCCTGCGCAGTACGCGGCGTTGTGTACAAACCAAAAAACGCCTCGGTACGCAACGGGTTAACATGATACCCGGGAAGCCGGAGTGCGAATTAAAGTCCCATCCAAAAACACACAATCTTTCCATCACTCCGCATTCTTGTGGTAGCCAGTCACCATTCTCTTTAAAAAGGTGAAGAAGATTTCTGACCTAATAGTAATGACTGCACTGCTTGGATTTATTTGCAGCTGGACACCGATGTTTTCAACGACGTCTTTTGCTTTGTAGTCAAGAGAAAGTCCACAGGGAGACGCCTATTTGACACCTCCATCGGTCAGTTAAGACTGCAGTCTTACATCTTGTAAAGGCAGCTGGTTGCTGTTGGCCGATTATGAAAGCTGTCGTCAAGGGTGCGTGACGATTCAATCGTGGCTGGCTAGGTCGCCGCGCCAGCCGCAGCCCGCGATGCGACGTCGGCCGTAGCCAGAATTCATGGTTCTAGCATGGGGGAATGTACGATTAGATGAAGTTCCAGTCGTGAAACACGGTATATGATCACCTGCCCCTTAAAGTACAGGTTCCTTGTCCCTTGCCATTATTTACAAACTTATTCTGTCATACTGATGTTAGTGCCTTCCTCACGGTTCCACTCCGTTTTGAAGCGTAATATTCTCCGAATTAAAGGAATCTTGCGCGGAAAATTCTTGCACTCTTTCCTAACATGAATATGTCAGTTGTGATCACTGGAAATAGCACACAAAGTTTCACGCATGAAGATTCGGTTTCTGAAGAGAAACAAACGTACAAAAACTACACGTTATGGACCATCGAAGGACCAGGAGGCAGAGCCAGGCGAGGCATGGAAAGAAGACGGCGTTTGGCCGGCTACGTACCAGGCGACGCAATGAGAGAATCGGGTTAAAGCGCGCGATTTCGGAGAGTGGAGACAAATCGATCGATGGAATAGGATGGAGTAGAAGTGTAAGATGTGAATGCAACGAAGCAGAAGGCCAGAAAGAGCTTCTAGTGAATGCACTCCAAGAACCAAGTTTGAGCATCCCCGTCGCCAGCATTCGTGAAAGACGTCCGTGGGCAATTCGAACGCGTAGCAGCCTTTTCGAGTTTTCGAATTTCTAATCAAAACGAAAGCAATACTTCAGTTCTTTTCACTATTATCGTGGATAATGAGTCTCAAGCCAGTGATTTATGGCTGAAATAGAATCATGATTTTTCCGCGCAAGATTCCTTTAACCAGATTATCGCTTTTTGATAATAGTTCAGGCAGTTGATCAATAAAGGAAGTCAAATTATGTTCAAAGGACAACCTTTACACATGGCACAAGCTCTGTACAGTGAGGCTTAAATAACTGCGGAGATCTTAAGGTGACGCTTGTTGGCTCACTGATGTCTGGAACTTTGGTCTTATCAGTTCTCTAACCCCACCAGCAACTTATGGACAAGGACCGTTAAGCCAAGGCCCATACAAAAATCGCCGCACCAGCTTGCCGCGCGCGACGCTGCCCGCCGCGTGAGCGGCGTGACCTCATTAGATTGAATTGACCGTCCCTGTCGTCAATGGCACTAATTTTTGAACAACCTACGCACCGTACCTCTACGTCAGCAAGAATTAATACTCGACCGTCAGCGATCAGCTGTTAGCGTATTAGGAGCTATAACGTCGAAGATGTTTTCATGTTCTAGAATAATTGGTGAGAAAATATTGAAAGACGTTCAGGTGGGTTGATCTTTTCCAATCAGTTTCTGCAAATCGCTACGTATCTGCCGTCGGACGCAATGTACGGATGGGGAGAAAACGTTCATCCAACACTCAAGGTTCATCAGACTTATTCTGCTCTCTATTGATTACAACAGGAAAAATGGCTCATTTCAAGCATAACTTCTCCACGTACCGTACATGGGGTATGCTAGCAAGAGACGAACCTCCAAATTCGGTCGGCATAGACACGAAAAACCTCTACGGTAGCCACTGATGAATCAGCACAATTTCCACAGACCAGCCACGAAAAGTAATATTAGCTGTTTTCAGGTGTACATCCTTTTTATATGATTCTCGAGCCGGACGGCAATGCTCACGGTGTATTAATTTTAAACAGCAATGCACAGGTACGCAAGCACCTCCTAAAGGCGAAGCACTTATTCCAGATGCAGGCTCTGGAAAAGTCTGAAAGGTCCACCTTCAGGAAGTAATAACAGCTCCGGGTCCAGTGCTGATTTATCGAACTATTGGCGGTAATTTGGACATGTATTTTTTCCCGGGACCAACTCCTGAAGAAGTAACCCAGCAGTATCTGGCTCTCATTGGAACACCTTTCCTCCCAGCATACTGGGCGCTAGGCTATCAAGTAGGGCACTTACAAGTTCTTCAGAACTTCTTCTTCTTTCCACTTAATCGTGCTATTGCGCTGCTATTACTGATCTTATTTTCGATATCTCGGTACGGCTACAAGGATCTAAATGAAATGACCGAAATAATAGCCAGAAATATGAAAGCCGGAATTCCATTGGATACTGCAGTGGCCGATATTGACTACATGGAGAGATACAAGGATTTCACTACTGGTCAGGTGTGTACTGCAGCCAAGTAGGAATTCAAGTTTTTTTTTCTGGTGCGGACAAAAAGTGGAATACGATTTTTTTAGCAAAATAACAAAGAGCAGTGGGCGTTTTACAGCCCAAAGGCTCTTATGAGCTGCGCCAATCAATGACTTTTTGTGACTTTCTCCTCAGTCATGTGTTATGGTGCAGAAGTCAAAGTAAAGAACTCGTACAAGTCTTTCAGAATTGGTCGGGATTGTCAGACTACGTGCAGAAACTGCACAGTTGGGGAATGCGCTCGATTCTCATTTTCGATCCAGCAATCCAAGTTGACTACGAGTCCTTCCAAAGAGGAATTACTGCGGTCAGTAGGCTTAACGTTAGGCTCCTTGCCACTGGTGCTTTAGAAGGTGGATACAGGCTAGGTAGCCAGTACCACAACACTGCTCTTGAGCCTTAAATTCAGATCTGGTTCCACTCATGTCAACCACGGCCCTTTATAAATCACTAACTGTGTACTTACATATTTTTCCAGAAAGCTCGATTCATAGAATGGGAACGTGCGGACCAAGTCATGCGGTCAATCCAGGTATGTGTATAAATTTTGTTTGCTAGTTTTTGTAACGACTAGCATCACTTGCCGGTTTGCGGACCATAGTGCAATTACGGATGTTGTTTGTCTGACCAGGAAAATCGTTCAGGACATCGAGCCACTTACTGATATAATTTTTCGCATATTGAAGAGACACGTACATGGAACGAAGAAATAGGGACCATTTTTTTGAGCGCCCCTCTTAACATCAAAAAAGGAAAGAAAATGTTCGTGTGGAATAGTAGTTTTTACACCTTCAATGTATCTACACTAATTCACTAGCGCATCAGCAAATCTATTCTCCTCCATTCTATTTCTTGAAAATAGCGCGAGATCCGAGAAGAACAAAGTGTAGTTTGTGATATGTATGCACTCAGAAATCTGTGGCTATTTCATAAGAGGTAGCGGCATATTCCTGTGCAACACGGGAGAGGGAAAATAGCGAAGGGACACATGCTTCCATCGTTTGCCATCACGCTACAACAAGTGCATCCTTTTCCTGTCCCTGAAGGTGCCTCCGGAGCGCTAATGATCCACGCTTAGGTTCCAGGCCTTCCCCAAATGAAAGGCACAGCTTTCAATAAACGATGTTAGGAATATCATTTTAGCAGCATAAATCGCACACGCCGGGATGTTTCGCCTCTCATAATCGTTTCCAATTCATCGAATATCCTCCTGTACTCTGCATGTGTCCTTTTTCAGTAACACAGCACATCAATGGAATGTCCAGATCTCGTGAGCATACCCATGTACACCATAGTGGTAGCTCAAGCATTTTGGATGTAAGAGTGCGTCCTATCAGCAACGATCGCGTAGAGACCATTTTACAAGCCATCTGAAAGGATGTTATCTATTAAGCAACAGACATGATTTCGGTAACATTTCCATTTCCAGGTGATAACTCTACTGTTTGGTTGAATGGTAAAAATGAAGCCCCGGCTAGTGGAAGTATCCTTGCGGAACTTCCCATGGTAATTGAGCGATTCAGCCACCTTTTGACACTGTATGCAATTGCTCGTCTTCTCCCTTGAGCCTGATCTCCTAAATGGTGCTCTTATAGCGCCCTCCGGGCGGAAGTGGTGTAGTGGCAAGTGGCGCGCTTACCACGCGAGCGGTCCGGGGATCAAATCCTGGGTCGTGAGTCGCCCGGGCCAACCAAGCCTTCCATCCCTCCGGGGTCGGTTAATTGGTACCAGACTTGTCTGGGAGGATAAAAACACTGACTTGTACATCGGCTGGCCCCCGCAAGTCATTGTATAGGCCACATCGCATTCAAACGCCACTACGAATGTACAAATGGAAGTAGAATGCGTGCCGCATTTTCTTCTGCAGTGTGATGGTAATTGGAAATGAGCACTGTAAAGTAAGCTATTACCGTCACCCTCTTCGTGATTCGTCGAGCAACGTTATATAGATCTGAACAATTTTTCCCGGCTTACTCCGAGTCCTCCCAAGATGCTGAAGTTCCTAAATAAATTTTTTTAGATCTGCTTTGTTTCCTTTTCCCCTGCGAATTTTCCAGGAGTGCATTCATGGTCCAATTTCATTCATTCATTCAAATCCCGGGGTAGGTTCCGCTCTCCTTTTGTAGGATTTCTTCATCACAGACTTTGAACTATATCACCGCTATCACCTTTGTTGGCGCAGACTTCAGACAATACCACCACTGCCGGCGCAGACACCTGCCGCTTACAGCTGGATAAACTCTTCGGATATCGCAAAGATGAGGCTTCCCATACATGAAATTGTTCCACTGCGCGGCAGCTCGCAACCCACATGTATCGAGAGAAGCCAGAAACTTCGCCTCGCAATTTCCCCCACTCTTTCTAATCCACTGAGGTATAGCAACCAAGCACCAGTTGCTCCGCTTGCTTGCTCGTTTCCTTAACGAGAAAAACTACGATGATGGCGACCACCTCAAAACAGACATCCACTGATTCTTGACGTCGAAGGTTGCGTAGTTTTGTGGGAGAGGTATCCATTCACTTGCGGATAGATAGAGGACACTTGTAGACAGTTGTGGTAAATAGGGCACTTAACCAAGGTGGTTCAAAAAATTTGTAAACCTTTGAAAATTTTCGTCAAGTTAGCGTTTACTTATGACTCATCCTAATAGTAGTATTAGTCGAACGGTCTTGTCTCCTTCGAGTCCTTTGAATACACCAGCTGCGGAAAAGCTGGGATAGCAGGCTACTAATGTATAAGGGGAGGCGGCGCTGTTTTAGAACGGGAATCGTGAGGCGGCGCTGTTTTAGAACGGGAATCGTGAGGCGGCGCTGTTTTAGAACGGGAATCGTGAGGCGGCGCCGTTTTGAACGCGTATCGTGATATGGTGTATAGTCGATAAATTGTAAGGTGGTGCTGATGCAGGGGTGAGGGTGGAGAAAAAATTGGTCAAGGTAGTACGATGAAACAGGTGCAGAAAAGTGAGCGTAACGGGGGCTTGGTCAACATAGTAGGATGGCACTGGTGCTAAGGAATAGGTGGGGGTTGGAGCTTGGTTCACGTGGTGACTTGGTCTCTGTGCACAGGAATAAGGGGAATTGGAGCTCGGTCTACATTGTTGGCTGGTGCCAGTGCAGAAAGGCGAGGGTGAGCTGGGGCTTGATTACCGTAAAAGGATAGGTGCAGAGGGGTAAGGATGAACAGGTACTCGATCGGTGAAATATGACGGCTGTTGAGCTTAGTAGAATTGTGAAGAGCTGAAGCCATCAGGAGAAGCCAGATGTGAATACATAATAGCACAAAAATATCTAATCCTTCTATTTTATAAAGCGCTAACTTTGTGTGTCGGTTTGTATGTCTGTATGTGTGTGTGTGTATGTATGTGTATGTATGTATGTATGTATGTATGTATGTATGTGTGTCCGTCCGCAAAATGAAGTGAGTGAGAAGGAAGCTCATGGGATAAACAAACCGCTAACAAATCGGGTAGCTTACAGGATTTGAGATATCAATGTTTTGTAGCAGGATAGTTGTGATAACACTCTTAGGGCTATATAAACACCTGCTTAGCACACTTCCGTTCATTCCACATGGTGCTGCAGTGGCAGCTGGAGGGCAGTGGAGAGAGGAAGGGAGGATGAGGAAGGGAAGCGAAAAATCTACCGTCATATCATGATTGTGTCCCTTCTACTGTATGAAACACCATTGTGTTGCATACGCGTCACTTCCAGGTGTTGGTGTCACAGGAGGAAGGGACCATAGCGGAGGATAGAAAGCTTGCGCAGGAAAGGAAGGTCCCGGCGGTTGACGGGGGACTAATCTGGTAAACAAAAAGTGCATGCAAGCGACCAGTTGGTGACCTCTCATCATGGTGTGGAATTTGTCCAGGGCTCCTACAAGGTCATAATAACGAAGAAATTGTGAGAGGTCGTGACCTATAAATGTACTGCCGATGGCGGAACAAACGTTTTTCTGATAGGCGAGTAGAACACTTAAACATTTATTTATCTTGCCGTTTTTCTATGAGATCATGAATTTCTGATATCGACTTCACTTCGTTCCACCCTGCAATCTTTCCAAACCACCCATTTGATTTCGTTCTCCTCCCATCTGAATCTGCCGCATTCTTTTTCAGCGCTGTAGTTTTTAGTTTTGGCTACGCCACATCCTGGTGATCAGATCACTGCAGTTGTTCCACAATTTCATTGCGAATAGATGACAGAGGTTTTTTCTCCCATGTTGCCTTTGTTCCGTACTTCTGGTAATGCATTTCCAATATGCCAGTCTCTTATGTCGACTTTTAGATGGGTGCGTAAGCACCGTGACCTCTACGCCTGAGCACGTGATTAAAATTGCTTCGCACCTCTGTTTGAGGCAGGCCTAATGAGGTACGAAGAATGTGTCCTTTGTCCTTATTCCCTGGTCCTCGGATGTAACGGTTATCGTTCCGAACTTGCACTGATAGAGTAGCGATGGTAGGGTGGCGGAACTTAGAATATAACTGCTACGGTAAGCCAATTATGGTGCTACTGTAATGTGCCTCGCCCTCCTCAGACCTGCCTGTGGGTGACCTCATTTACTGCTTGCGCTGATTGCTGACCTCTTCCTGACACTTCTGCTCAAACAGGATATTGATTATCTCACGAACTCTATCACTATTATTATATGATATAATATTAACAATCTATAACCACGACACATACCAAAAGTGGACATACAGAAAAAGTTGAGATCCCGAAAACCAATATCGTTTCATTGGTCACGTATTTTGGGATTTTCTTGCAGTACTCTTGCATTTATTGCGTTCCCATCTAGTAATGTTCTTCAAATCAACTGCCACTCTCAGCAGCGTGGGTGCAGTGTTTCTAGTGTTCTGAGAACAGTCGGTAAATTCCTACTCCGCCCAGATTTTTCCTTCAAAGCTGCCGTCTAGATGCAATGATGAGGAAGGGTCAGTATATGTAGAGAACAAATAGTTCATCGTGTAGATGGAATGATGGGGGAGGGGGAAGGAGCGAGCGGGGGTCATTATGTGTAGCAAAACACCAAATGCTCTAATTTTGTCCATTTCACGCCTCTTTCAAAAGCTCCCCACAAAATCGGCGCAGTCCCTTCAGAAACAACCCGATTTCCCAAAAACGCGATATTCTTGGTTTCCTCGACTTCTTTCAGAATATGTTAGCTTCCGTCAATCCCAAATAATGACATGACCGCAGATGAAAAGTCGCAGATACGATTCCCTGTCTGGCTTCGGCCAGACGCACGGAAGACTCTGGCTCCATCTGCTATCCGACTGATAGTGATGGTGCAATGGCGGTATTCACTGATTGAAGTTTTTGTCATAGTTAAATAGATTTGGAAATATAAAAGACTAAAACTTCTTGGGCACCCCAATGTTTTGTGCTACTACGGGGAAATCAGAAGATACTTCGTGATTCATTGAATGGGAGCGGGAACTAAGCTCAGTAAATAAGGAAATTAGGATACGAAGACTACAATCCTTCTATTTTATAAAGCGCTAACTTTGTGTGTCGGTTTGTATGTCTGTA